ATAAAGCATGACTACTGTGCATGGAATGTTCATTTATATTTAATCGAAAATAAAAGATATTTGATAACAATGACTACCGTTACATTTAATTACCTTTTCCCAAGTTTTTCTTTATTGTCAATCCGAAATGGATTAGAATATAATTTCGATGTAGTTTTTATCCGTTAGTTAAAATAGCTTTCTCTAATAGATCATTGTGTGAATAAATTATTAGAAAAACACAGAATAAAAACAAACAAGACATTCAAACATGAGGTTGTTTTATGTTGCTCGATATATTTCACTTGCTTTTAGATATGAAAATATACGTTTTTTAGCATTTTTTATCTTTTGATTCTTTGATCATCTTATGATTATCAATATACAAACACTGTATCTTCTCTCATCTAGAATAAAGATAATATATGGTTTTAATTACAAAACAAACAATTTGAAAATGTATCGGACTTGTCTAATTAGAAGCTATAAAGTACATGTTCATCTAGACTTTCTTGAAATCAAAAGATGATCTACATGTTTCTTTTTTGTTGAACCCAACATTTTTTGAAAAAAATTACATGGTTAGAATTAGCATTAAATTCTGAACAAAACTATGTCTTTTTTTTTGAAAAGAAAAAAGAAAATTTTGCCTTACTATCTCCCAGGAAACAAAAAAAAACATTTTTTTTTCCTCCCTCCAATTTGATCTAGATATAGGTTATTGACCATGCTGATCACGAATATAAAGTTTGTTTTGCATAAAAAAGTGATTTAAACGAAAAAACAGCTTATTCTGGGAAAGGATGCCTTTTTAGCCTCAGTCCGAAAATCACTACCTTTTAACCCTAAAAGATAGTTTGGAATAGTAATAATACGTTATATATGTGTGGAAATTATTGTTCTATGAATTCCTGATAGATTAATGACTTAGCAAATATATATTCCCAGTTTATTTGGCTAAAAACTGGCAAAAATGGGAACAAAGACCTATATACTCTGAAGTATAGGCCAATTTTTTTCCTAGCCACTTTTTGATCCAATGAGTTATATTTATAGATCGATGCAGTTTTTCATGCTCTATCCGAATATGACTTCAAAACGAAGAAAAAAAATGAAGAAAATGCTCAAAAAATGGAAACATTAGAAAAAGAGCAGAAAAGTCATAAAAATGGCTAAGTATTTTCAGACTATGACCAATAAAAAATAGCTTTGAGACAAAATAAATATGACATTCGGAATTAGAATGCAAAACTACATTTCGTAGCATAAATTCTATTAAAAAAATTTTACTATCAAAATTCGATTCCTGGTCCCCTCCAGTGCTTTTCTAATTTAATTTTGTTTGTGGTATCCCTTAGTCGAATTTTTGTGAAAAACAAATTTTTAAATAGAATTCAGGGTGTGGATGTGATATGAGTGTGAGGTGTGAGTATGGATATGGGTATGGGTGAGTATCGATTAGCAGAAAATCAACACCCATACCCTTCTCATTTAGGATATATCCAGTATCTGTTGGTTCGCAGAAAAATATTCAACGAGCTGAAGACAAGAAAAATTATGTTCTTTTGCTTAAAGAGCTCAAAGAACAGCTCAATGCAGCTGGTGATGCGAATGGTAAGACCTATTTATTAACTGCTGCGTAAGACTATCAAAAGAAATTAGACATAATCATCTTGTTAAGCCTTTTATTACAGAACTGCTGCCAAAACAAAGAGAATTTCTAATTTGAATGTATCTGGCATATCCGAGTATCTCGAGTGTATGAATGTTATGACATATGCTTTGCATGGTAGAATTCTATTCTGATGTTGTTCTCAGTTGAATATCTACATATATATTGTTACATTTGTTTCGTATACTTAGGAGTGAATAGCACTGTTGTGAATGGTTTTTCACAGGCCTTTTCTTGTCAACACGTAATAGATGTATGGGAAAACGGTATTTTTATATATGAAGACTTGAAAAAATCATTTATCCTTGCCGATACATGTTATTAGGATGATTCATCCAAAGTATGGATTAGTTATAATGATCGAGAATCATCCAAGAATAAAACATAATTACACCTAACGAGAACAATTAGGTAGTGCTATGTTCTGGAAGTTGAGTGGCGATCGTCAAGCGGAACTTGTTAGTGCTGTATATACTGCATTGAAATAAGAAAGTATCTGCTGAAATAGAATTAGCAATATGGATGATGTATTTCCAAGAGGCACAAGAGCATACGCCCAATGTTTTCATTGTACAGTGCGACAATTAATAGCCTCAATCCTGTTGGCACGTCATATTCAATCAAAGTATTACGATCATGAACATCATTTATATTATCATCAATGGTACGCTGAATTAACATAACTTTAGTCAAAAATTAATTATGAATTTTCAATGTTCGTATTCTATCTATTAGGTGAAAAAGACTTAAGGGTGGTGATATCGTCTTTTTTCTTTGAAACCTATTCCTAAAGTAGAGAAAATCGATTTAGCTTAGTCTCAAAGATTTGAAGTGTTAATAAACATGCGAACCCAATTATTTTGAATCGCTTATGTGCTTTGCGATTTTGAGGCATAGTTGAAGCGTAGTTTCGTTCGTGCAGATTTGTGGTAATTTTGTGCCATTCTGATAGAATGCACCATTTTCGAGTTCATGATCAGGAGTGTTAACGACATGCAAGATAGAATCGGCTCCAAATTCAGCTGGTCGACCTCCTGGACCATGTTTATTGATATCGGTGGCGCAATAACCTGGGCAAACAGAATAAACGAATCTTTTTTTCACATCGTAATATTGACGTGCTTCAATTCGAGTGAGAGCAATCAATGCCGCCTTGGAAACAGCATACGTCAAATAGGGCATATCGGTAGGATACCCGCATTTTTCAAGATTATTGGACTCGAAGGCTGAAACAAAATCTTCGATAAGACAATCGAGCTGTTCTGTGGTTAACGTTGCCGATGTGTATTTGTCTTGAAGATCTTTCGAAACATAACGTAATATCATTGGCCCTGCTCCACTGACAACATTGATAACACGGCCATCATTACGTAGAAAAGAAATTAAGTTTTCATTGAGTATTTTGACTCCGTAATAGTTGGTAGCCAGTGTTTCTCGAACAGCCTCAATGGAATCATCTTTTGGCATAATAGCCGCATTGTTGATAATTACGTCCAACTGACCCCCGTACTTTTGTCTAATTTCATTAGTAGCATAAGAGATGCTCTCTTTTGACGATGTATCTAACTGAAGAAGGTATACGTTTGTTGGAGAACCCAACTGTGAAAGTGCGTCTTGTCCACGTTTCAAATCACGACTACCAAGAATAATAAGATCGTTTCTGGTCGATGATGGCTGCTGAATAAGTTTCTTGATGACTTCAAAACCAATGCCTTTATTTGCACCAGTAACCAGAATAACACGTTGCAGCTTCATTGTTGATGACATGTTTCATATGAAAATACACGAATATCTGCACACGTTGTTATAAAGAAAGAAAAAAAAACTATTGTCGTAATAAAGAGCAGTTTTGCTCGTTCTTTCTTGCCGCATTACAATACGACATTCTTTCCAGTTACACGTGCGTTTTGAGAGAGCGAATGACGATATTAGTTTCACCCAATATGCCCTAAACTGCTTCGTTTAGAAACGCAAATTTTTTTCGACAATAAGCAATTTTAGAAAAATCAGTTCTTCATATATTAACATCTTTCAAAAAGCAAAGAACTGCTTTTCTCATATTGAATCAACATTAGAAGTAATCAAATCAAATAAAACGATATTCTCATCTTGTTCAAACTTGACCAACTGAGAAAGTGAAAGTCAATAGCGTCTTTTCCAAGGGAAAAAAGCTGAGCTTTTTTTTCAGATTTTATCAGTTTTTTATCAAAAATATCGATTTTTATTCAAATTAATCAAAATATTTTGTTTTCTTTTCATATAACCATGCTTTATTTAGACCACAAATTACCAGGAATAACTGTAGATTCGTCGTGAATATAATGAAAACAATGAACAGAGGTATTTAATTTTAGTATGTGAAAAGAAAAACGATAGGGTGGGATGTTGGTATATATATGTTATCGCGAACGACAGAACGAGAGAAAAAATTAAAAAAAGGCAAAAGAACTTCTCGCAGGGAATCTTGTTTCAAAAAAAAATTTTGCTTGGGACTACATCATACCCTACGCTCATACTCTAGGGTAATATTCAATTTTTTGCGTTCTTTATAACGATACCAATCTCTTACGCATTAGACTTTAAGAAAAATTTTTTCGACCGTTTGATATGTCAGAAGAATCATTATTATACAGCTTTAACTTCGATCAACTAGTTTAAATTTGCTAACTTTTTTATAAACTTTTGATCAATATTCTCTATTACAACGTATTTACTTTAGTAACTAAATATCATTTAATATTGTCTAATGTGAACAATTTTCGTACAAGTCTATCTGAAAAATTCCTCGAATTTGATAGTTTTTGTAAATAATAATAAATCTCTCTCTTCAATTCCTTGGAAACCATTATGTATGATACTTTAACTCCATTTCAATTAAGTTCTATGCTACGCTAAAAAGTAATATAACGCTATGATATTTCATCTTTTCATCTTATAGGGGTTTTACTGGGAGCTTCTTTTTATGAAGTCTTATTTTTCTTATTATGATGAAGCCTTACGGTAATTCATTTTCTATATTCATAAATAAAACGCTCTCGCTAAGAAATTACATATATTTACTAGTTTCTTTCTCCTTATCATCTGAGAAAACCAACAAGACATTGTATTATTTCATTACATTGATGATAACATATTTTCTTAAATCTTTTCATTCTTCATAATGGTCGATATATTTTATATAATTATTATTCTTCAAGAGAGTGTATTAGCACTAGCTTTGCTCGTAACTGTTATATATATAATTTCAATCATACTGATTCGTCAATTTCATCATCGAAGCAACATATTTATAGTCAATATGTGTTTTACTGTACTCAGCACTTCAATCTATTTTACTATTTTTATCTCAATGTCAAATTTTGATATTCGACGTTTATATGTTTCACGTACGTGTACTCTATTATTTTATGCATATAATGTCGCCGGTGTTGCAGTTCCATTTGCTTTTGTTACTTTTTCCATTAATCGATTATGTCTTATAGTTTATCATGCAAAACCTTTCTTCAAGAAAAAACGATGGTTGATTATATGTATTGTATGTCAATGGATAGGTGAATTTATTATTTCATTGCCATCTATTTTTCGAAAAGAACCAGTAAGTTTATGATTATCTTTAGTTTATTTTCTTATTAATTGAACAATATTGTATTCGATAAGAAAATGAAGAGTTGCTTAGATATATACACAGTAACTCACAAGTTATCTACATTCATTTGCTTTTTGTCGGATAAGTATCAACTTAATTCTATTGAAAATGTTTCGAAAAATATTCTAGATAGTTTTATTCAAATCTTCTTTCAAGAATGGATTTTTGCCTTAAGTAATCATGATTAAAAAAATCTGTGAGATAATTAAAAAAGAAAAATAAATGTTCAATTGAACTGAAATAAACAAAATGCATTCAACTGATTTTAATATTAAAAAGTCATATTAGACACCGTAATTAATATACATGATATAAATCATTTTATGATTAACATTAGATAACATATCTTCTTTGCTATGATAGATATATTAATAAATAAAATATCTTTAAGCAAACACTAAATATTTATATTATAGTATTGTAATACTGAATTATGGGGAAGAATTTATACATGTATGATGGCTGTTTTTGTACCTTCATTTATCAATATTATGCTAAATATTGCTATATTTATTCGTGTTCGATCTGCTACTCGTCGTGTTCAACCTCGAACGAACAATACATCAGAAAATTCTAATCGTATTCAACAAGCAAGAATTAGTCCTCGAGAGATTTTTTTATTACGGCAAATGATTTTCATTTTTTTGACATTTATTATAGGTTGGACTCCTGTTTATATTGTTAATATTATCAATCCAATTCTGCACATTCATCCAATTATTTCTCAACTTAGCATATTATTATGTGAGGTGTCTTTATTAAGTATCATTATAAATTTATTTATGTGGAATCATGAATTAAGACAATATTTCTTCAATAAAATTCGACATTGTTTTGTGTATATTTAGAAGTATTATAAAACTTTATGTGGTGAAAATTTTTTGTATAAATGTATTCTTAATCTAAATAAATTTATATGCTTGTAAATTGTTTTTAAGACTTTTTTTCTTTTGAATTAAATAATTTGCTTTAAATTTATTAACTAGTGAAGATCTTCCCAGATTGATGAATACGAAGACTGTATATGATCGTATTTTGATTCTATATGGTAAAAATATGATTCTTTAGCCGTATATTGTATCCACTTCCATCACCAAACTAGAAAACGAATTTATTCTCTTAAATTGTCTTCGATTCTATATCCTTCACGTTTTATGTTCTATCAAAATAATTTCAAGCATTATACTTGCATCCGTAGTTTATCTCCTGCAATGTACATCTAGTACTATTGTCAACTATAACTCTATATTAGTCGAAAGCAGTGTTATAAATGACTGTTATATATGTGCCGTCGGAGCTGTGCGGTATTTGTACGTAAATATAAAATAGAATTGCGAGCAGCAGTATCTATGTCTACATTGAAGGTATTCTTTCCAATCTCAATTGTTCCAATCGTGCTCACCCATTTCTACCGCAAATTGAAAGATAGATTAACTTGTACTTTAGATTGAATTCAGAGGTCGAAAACGAACCGAACTGAATTGAACTTGATCTGATTGTAGAAAAGCGAGTAAATGAAGGCAAACATATACGAAAAATGATTTATTCAATTATCATCCGTTTTTATAAGACTGTGGTGCTGTGAGCAATGATGAAACAATGTTTGATCGATTGCTTTACAAATTTAATTTCATCCTCATATAACATTGTGTTTTCATTTTCTAAAAATTGCACCAATTGTATTAATGATGATCAGTCATGTGTATGACATGTCATTCCTTAATTCATTTCTCTCTTATTTTTATTCATTCTTTTGAACAAAAAAGAACGGACATATGCTTGCTTAATTAACAACAGTATATTATCCTATAAATAGTTGACCTATTATCATTTTCTCTTCATTCGTATCTCGAGGTTATTTTATATTCATATTCTTATAAACTATTCAATACTACTCATTATTTCGATGATGTCAATTCATTCTTCAATTTCTTATTCATCAATCCAAAATTCATCGCCGCAATCTATGTCGAACTCATCTACAAATTATACTTCGGATTCCATTAAATTATTGTTAAAGAATGATAATCAAATTTATAAAGTTATTCCAAATCAAAGCAAACGTGTTTCAGCTGTATTTCATTTAGTGTATTGAACATAATTGTCGTTTTTACTTCGGGTAAATCTTAAACCCAGAAGTTCTATCAAAGCTTTTGAAGTCATTTTAGAAAAGAATATATAATTCTGATGCGAATCCAATGGTCTCGAATTACTTTTCGACAACTTCATTACCTTACATTTTCATGTTTATAGACAAAAGAGTACTTAAAAACATTACAAAGTCTGACGACTTTTCGTAGATGCTTTATTTTACTGTTGAGGAAACTCCCTTAACTGTGATCCGTCGTTTAAGCTCATATTGAGCCTGCAAAAAGTCTCGGTAACATTAGAAGAAGATTAAACAAATTCGTACTCATGGATCTCTGAGGCCAAATTCTGACCATTTTATTGAGTTCTCGACTCATTTTTAGGTGTTTACTAGCAAATTACATTATGAAATTCAGTCCACAGATAGATAGGTCTAATGACTATTAGAATACCGTCAAAGTATTAGACACAAAAGTTCCGTTACCATCATATCGAATTTTCAACAACTATTAGCTTATAGTCACAAAAATTGCATACCTCGACATAAGAATATTCTTTTTGATTGAAACTTTCACAATATTCCAATAGTTATTAGACCTGTCAATGGACGAAATTCTACTCTTGGATCTTTCAGTAAATGCCTAACGTTCAGTCAAGGGTGTGGGTGTGGACGTGACTCGATCTCTTTCTAATCAGCCCAAAATGAAACCCCTACTCACACCTACACCCACATCCTGGCTCAAATGAACATGATAAACTCCTTGTTCATGTATTAATGAAGGTGAAGCGCTCTTTGGACCATAAGGCTCATCGGAAAAGATCACATAAACGCCGCTTGTTATGCACAGTTTTTCTTGAATTTTTTCGCGGAAGAAATCGTCTATTTGCATATAGACATACTTGAGTATTTGCTTCTATTTGCACAGAGAGAGTTTGATAAGAAATCGGCGAATGGCGCAGTTTGTTGAATGTCAACAGTTGGTTTTTTTCCAACTTTCAAAAGAAACAGAACACAATCGATACTTACGTGAAGCAAAGCTGAAGCAGTGCATGTTGACAACGATGTGATGGTATTCTCAATAATGTTGCGAAAACACGCGGTTTGAGAAACCGTTATATAGAGTAATGAATCAGAATATTAGTGAAAAACAGGTGCCAGCAAATAAGATACTGATCATCACAATCGAATAAACTCGACAAAGTATCAGTCATATTCTAAGGATTATGCTTATTGTATAGAAGTTGAATTAGCTTGCGGATCTGTAAAAAAGTTCATCGAAACATTATTAAAAAAATTCATTACGTTCATGAAGAAATGAGGAAGCCTTGTCTTAATTGATTAAGTAAGAATAATCAATGCAATTTGCTCTAGATTGCAAAGTCTTCTTCGAATGAATAGATAGTTTAGTAAGAGTTTTTCTTTCTTCTTCTATCCTGTAAGTCTTACACGTATCCGAAAGAAAATATCAGTTATTAAAGGTTGTTGGTATTTTTTAAAAGCAAATCTTCAAAATGTTTGCTGTACTATCTGCACGAATCATTTTTTTTGCCATCGAGTAACCTAAAATTGTATTTTGTCTAACCAATTCGACCGGATCCTGTTGTATCGATGAGGACTCGATTTTTCTTTCCATTTTCAGATAGAGTCCGACAGTGATAATGGCTCTGATAGTACGGTTGAAACTATTCTTAGTGATGAATACGCGTTAAGAATTTTGCTCATTTCTCGGATTATTCACTTTGTTAAATATTTGTGGGTGTGAGTGTGAGGTGTGTCATGAGCAATACATCCACACACACCCCAATTCACATCCATATGTAAGACATCCAGGCCCACACCTGTACCTATACCCACACCCACATCAGCACTGAGATACAAAAAAAATAGACCCAAAGAACCCCGATTAACTGCCTGTTTATGAATGGTTTGAACAAGCTAGATTAAATGTTAGAGAACTAAACCAGGAAACAAAAATAATTGTTCATGATTATAAATGTGTCTTTTTTTTCTTCCTAAATAAGTTTGATCACAACGGTTTTCACTTCATAATATTCTTCAAGACCATATCGTCCTAATTCTCGTCCATGACCTGATTGTTTATAACCACCGAATGGCGCCTGATTACATACGGCATCATAATCATTTACCCAAACCGATCCAGCTTGTAATCGTTGAGCAAATGTAAGAGCACGTGTTACTAGAAAAAAAAAATTCATTATTAGTTCATTAGTTTTTCTTATAACTTACAATCTTTTGTAACTACACTAGCAGCAAGACCAAACGTTGTATTATTAGCTCGTTTAATAACTTCTTCATATGAATCAAATTTTAATATTGACATTACAGGACCAAAGATCTAGACAATCAGATTATTATAACATTTAACGAAGAACAAAAAACAATCGTCATACTTCTTCACGAGCTATTTTCATATCATCCTTGACATTAGTAAAGACTGTTGGTTTAATAAAATAACCTTTCTTGCCAACTCGTTCACCACCACATTCTAATTTAGCACCATCCTTTTTACCAGATTCAATATAACCTAAAATCCTTTCAAATTGTTCAGCAGTTATCTATAATATGACATTGAATTTAATTTTTGTTTGTTGTATGAATATAACACTTCATACCTGTGGACCTTGTTCAGTACTAGAATCAAATGGATCACCAACGACACGTTTCTTGGCTAGTTCAATACTTCGAGCAACAAATTCATCATAAATTTTTGAATGAACAAATGTACGAGATGCAGCAGTACATCTCTGTGCAGCATTGCCAAAAATAGCTCGATGAGCAAGTTTTACAGCATGATCGACTATTTAACAGATAAAAAAAACAAACACATGAACTAGTTGTTGAAGAAATTTTCTTAACACTTACGATCAGCATCTTCACAAATGATCAATGGAGATTTACCACCTATGTTCAAAAAACAAAAAATAAATCGTATGACTTTTATGAAATATTACTCACCAAGTTCAAGTGAAACACGCTTAAGATTTGATTTAGCTGCAGCTTCTTGAACTTTCTTTCCAACCTTTAATCAAACATAAAATATAACTTTTATTTTTTCTTTAGCTTAGCATTCTTACTTCAACTGAACCTGTAAAAGCTACTTTATCAATATCTTGATGAACAGAAATAGCATTGCCACATTCAGGTCCGTCGCCTACAAGATATCGTCAAATTATTTTTATATCAACATTGTTTGCTTTACCTGGTATGACGTTCACAACACCTGGTGGAAAGCCTGCCTAGAGTATTATGAAAAGAAAGGATTCATATTTTGAATAAAATCATTCATGAAACTACCTCTTTGCAAAGAGAAGCGACATACAATGCAGTAAGTGGTGTTTGTTCAGCTGGTTTCAAAATGATAACATTACCTATTTAATATATTCGTAAGAAGGAGCATTAAAAACAAATTGACGTATGGACTTACCACAAGCTAATGCTGGACCCAATTTCCAAGACATCATTAAAATCTAAATTTAGTCAAATGAATTATATATCGATATTATAGAAGAGAAATACACGCACTGGATAATTCCTACAAAATAAATATATATTATCTTAATAGAATACAAATTTCAACAAACCATGGAATAATTTGTCCACAAACACCAATTGGTTCATGACGAGTATAAATCATTTGATCTTGTGCTCCTGGAATGGTTTCACCAACCATTTTATCAACCCATCCAGCATCTATAATTTTGAAATATTATTTCTCTAATATAATAATTAGATATACAT